TGATGAGGTTGAGTCTAACATTGTCCAGACCTAATTTGCTTAAGATGAGTCTCATCTTAGGCTCCTTCGCATGGAACCAGCGTAAATGTATCTTCCGCAACTCGCGCGCTACCGCGCTGGGGTCAAGGTTTCGTAAATTTCGCAGACTGATTTGTGCATCGAACCGTGACCAGTCTGGTAGTCGTGGTCGCGCGGCAGGTTTCCCTGCTGGTGGTGGTGGAGGCGCTTCTCCACCTTGCTGTCGACCACGTCTGACTCTAACCTGTGGTAGTCGGAGGTGGCCATCCGAACTACCGGCTCCACTTGGGGCAGGTTGCCCTGCAACAGGCTCAGCAGCCTGTCTTCCAACAGTAATGTCGTGACTTCTTGCGCCTGCAGTAGATCCAGCTCTCAGGCCAGGTCTAGGCGCTCTCAGTCGCGTAAGTGCTGGTGCTGCTGGTGCCTCAGGTGGAGGTGCTGCAACTTCAGCGGGATCTGGCGGTGCAGGTCCTGGTGCCGGTCCGACAGGAGCCGGCGGGATCTGTCCATGATTGTCGGGAAGCTTCCGAGGATATGCAAACTTGCATGAGCCAGGTGTCAGTACATGCCCAGGTTTGTTAGTCCCGTAGTTCTTCTTACAACTCGGACACTCCCAATGATAGTCACCATTGTCGTGCCATCTGCAATGTCTCGGATTCCGATCATGTGATGGAGAGTGCGTATTCACGTTATCCGCGCAGGCAGGACAGCCAAGTCCCCCCGACGGCGCTCTCGCAATCGAGCCGTCCGGTTGTCGGGGAAGACTCGGATCGTCCAGATCGCATCCCCTTTACGTTGGTCATCAACACGGTAGACGAATATGGGTGACCATGGAAAGGGCCACGAGTTGTTTGGAAAAGGTTGTGTGCGATCTGTGCAGCTCCAACAAAGAGCGACTGCATCATTGGTGTATACTGCGCAGCCATGGACAGTTCTTTATTGCACACCGACGCACGTGGATGATGGCCATCACATCGCTTTCGTTCAAAATTCGTAAGTAGTAAGCGGTATTTAGCCATGATCTCAGTCAGTTTTCGTATTAGTGCCCCATGGGATTCGCGTTGGCCTGTAGTACATTGGTCCATATGTACCTTGCAAGTGCCCTTGTTGTTGGCCAACGTAGTCCATGGCGGTATCTGATCCACCCAAGTCCCAACTGGTTGTTCTCTTATGTAGAATCTTCGAAGATAATTTTGACGTACAGCTGCCTTCCCACAGAACTTGATGTGTGGTAAATCCTCATTATGATGTTCATGCCACGTGTCGTAGTTAACCTAGGCAACGAAGTAGGAAGGTAAGCCAGTCGTTCGGCAGCTGGGTTGACGCATGACAACCATAACAAACGTCTAAGTAGTGCATCACTGCATCTTGGCTTATTTCCAAGATCAACGAAAGTACGTTTGTCAAGGTTTCCCCCTGAAGACATACCTCGGCTGAATGCTAACTGGGAGATGCATCCGATTCCTCCACATAGTTCTGACATATCTACCTTGTTGTGTCGCCCAGAACACAGGGTGGGGATTATGGAGAATACATCTGCGTAGGATTCAGCAGGTTGCCCCGCAGGTATGGCGATGAAGGTCTCCTCTTCACCGTTGCTATCCGTGTCGGAGTCCAAAGGTGCATCGGTGTAGTGCGAGCTACACCCGAGTCCTCCGAGGTCGTCTCCACAATCGTCGTTGCCTTCTTCGACTATGTTGGGTATCTTGCGTGGTTTGATGCCGGCTTCTTTGTCTGCCTTTTGTCTATTCTTGTTTAACTCTGGCATCTGTTGGTAGTGCTGTCTGTTGCTCTTTTTCTGGTAAGCTAAGCGTCGGAAGTTCTGGAATAGAGGGTAGCACGATGCCGCGCTCAATCGGAGGGGGAGGAAGACGGTCGTCATCGATGGTCGCCACTCGCCTTGAGCGTGGTCGTGAGCTGTCGTTGCCCAGAAGGGTTGGTTCCGGCTGCTCCCAGTACAGTCGAGTACGGATGTTAGTGACCCCATCCGGTAATGGTGCGTTGTAATTGTGCCCAGTCGGCTGGTCTTCGATCTTGATGTCCTGGATGATCTCGTTGTCGCCCAGGTTCATAGTCACCCGTCTCACGACATGGCCCCATTCAGGGCCATTCTTAGAAGACCGAACGTAAGTTCGAACTTGATTATCCACACGAGTACGAATACTCAAATGTACAGCACTTGTAGGGCTTCTGTGCATGAAAATGTAAGTCCATTTGACGACCAACCTTGCGGTCACGATCGCTAGTGTCTTATTCCGCCATTCGGCTTTCTGAGCACCTTGTCCGTACCAGTCCAGCATATGCTCAGTAGGATCTGCAGGTTTCCCTGCTCTGTTGCATGTGCATCTCCATAAGTGGGTGGAGATGCGTTTGCACGTTGTTGCCCTTTGCAGATATGATCCGCTGGGCAACTTGTTCGCGCGGTCGTACTTGAGGCCAAAATGGCAGAACCTCATGCGCATGACTTGTAAATCAAGATCTTCAATCGCATCTCGCATGGGACCTTGTCTCCAGAAATACCCTGGTGGCCCCACCAGCGCAATAGTCATGCGTAGAGCCCGAGCCTTTGACGTCAGATTTTGGATACGCTGGCAACGTGGCCCTGCCCGTTTACCAGGCAGCCCCACATGCCAGTCGGCAGGCGTTGCGACCCGCAACAGTTGGTCATCAACCGAAAATAGCGCACCCAAATACTGTGTACCAGTGGAGGTCGCCACCTCTGTATGTGCGATACGGTCTCACATGTATCCACGGGCTCGGAGTTCAGCGCAAGCTGTTCGTATATCCTCAATAACGAATGCACGAGAATGATAATGATGCGACAATCCTTCATTTTCTGCTGCGGCCACACAGCCGGGCCCACTGCTGTCTGCGGCAGCCGCGCAGCCGGGCTCGCCGCGGCCCCTGGCGCGCACAGCCGGCGCCTGGGAAAATATTGCAGGTTTTCCCGCGCTTGCTGACAGCACTGGGGACGTAACAGATGAGCGGTTCCCTTCGATGGAGTCGGCCCCCAGCTCCGTCCGGCACAGAACGGCGGGAACCGCCGGGCGGCGGCGCAGAGCTGCCGGGGCGGCCGGACGGCGGCGAAGGGCGAAGGATAAGGGTATCAGCCATCCATCCATGTAGCTGTCTGCAAGCTGATCATAATACATTGGAACGCCGGGAAAAGTAAGAGCGACGGGATAGAGTCGGATAGACGAGGGGCCCGGAAGAGGAGGGAGAGGAGACGGGCGGGCGTGCTTGAGGAATAGGAACGCAAGCTCGTGAACTCGAACTCGAACATATCGAGGTCCGCGCGGGGGAAGGGAAGGGGGGGGAGGGGGAGGAGGAGGAGGGGGAGGAGGAGGAGAAGGAGAAGGAGGAGGAGGAGGAGGAGGAGGAGAGGAGAAGAGAGAAGGGAGGAGGAAGAGGAGGAGAGAAGGAGGAGGGGGAGAGGAGAATGGAGGAGGAAGAGGAGGAGGTGGAGGAGGAGAAGGAGGAGGAGGAGGAGGAGGAGGAGGAGGAGGAGGGGGAGGAGGAGGAGGAAGGAAGGGGGGGGAGAAGGAGGCGGAGGAGGAGGACGAGGAGAAGAAGGAGGATAAGGCAGAGGAGGAGGAAGAGGAGGATAAGGAGGACACGATGAAGGAGTAGGGGAGGGGAGGGCGAGAGGAGGAGGAGGGGGAGGAGGAGAGGAAGAAGAAAAAGGTCGGAGGAGGAGAAAGAGTTAAGAGAACGAGGAGGGGGAGGAGGAGGAGGAGGAAGGAGGAGGGGGAGAAGGAGGAGGGAAGGGGAAGAAGGAGGAGAAGGAGGGGCGGAGGATGGTTTCCTCCGCAATTTTTCGGCTCCCAAATGGAGCTGTTCCATCAGCGTCTCCGCGCTGGCGGCATCCGCCGCGCGCTTGCATCGCTCGGCCCGCTGGCCGCCGAGGCCGCTCCGGGGCGGCGGGAGCGAGACAGGGGGGGGAGGGGGAGGGATGGGAGGAGAGACTGACTATAGCGACGGAGGGGGGGGAAGGAAGGAGGAAAAGGAGGGGGAGAAGGAGGAGAGGATGAGGAGGAGGAGGCGGAGAAGGAGGAGGAGGAGGAGGAGGAGGAGGAGATGGAGGGGGGGAAAGGAGTCGGAGAAGGATGAGGATGGAGGTCGATTTTGGAAGGGCATTGAACAGGGGGGGGCACAGGGCCCGAGAAGGCCGAGAGGAAGGAGCGGCACGGGAACGGGCCTAGCCGAGGCCGAGGAACAAACATGACAAAAATGGGTCGGTTCGACACAATCACACACTCACGCATACGTGGAGTCACTTGCCGTGGCAACTCGCCCCAACTGGGCGGCCCCCGGCCCGAAAGGCTAAACTGCAATGAGCTGCGGCCTGGGGGGGGACCAAGGGGGGGCAAGGAGAGAAGGAACGAGCGTAGTACACAACATGAGCCCCCAATCTTTGGCAGCTGGGCGGGCTCTCGGCGCCGCGGAATGCGCTCTTTGGCTCTTTGTGAGCAGCGCAGCATATATGCATCGATGATGGCCGGCCGATGGCCCGACGATCGCCACTTTTGAGCGCAGCGCTGGCCATTCCCCCCCCGGCACCCTTCTCCTCTATGTCCCGCGAGTGGCAGAGGCGGAAGGAGGAGGGGGGGGGCGCAGATAAGGATAATTGAGAGTGAGGGCGAGACGAGGCGAATAAGGAAGAAGAAGCGAAGGGGCAGGAGTAGCGGGGACAGTAGAAGGAGAGAAGGAGACGGGCCAGCTCCCTCCCATTCTCCTCACCTCACCCGCCTCCGTTGCCTCTCATTATATCCCTCCCTCCTCTTTCTCCCTCCTCTCCTCCTCCTCCTCCTCCTCCTTCTTCTCCTCCTCCTCCTCCTCCTCCTCCTCCTCATCATCATCATCATCATCATCATCATCATCATCACATCATCGGAACTCCTCCCCTCCCTTCTCCGCCCTCGGGCCCTCGGCCCCTCGGTCGCGACTGGCGCGCCGAGCGAACTGCAGGCTGGCCCGCCTACGCGGAGCCCTGGCCAGGGCTGGCGCCGCTGGCGCTGCTGTGGGAGGAGTTGCCGAACACCCCCTGGAACAGCTGCTTCTTGCGGCTGTCGTCCATGTCGGCGTCGTCGGTCTTCCTCGGCTCCGGCGAGTGCTTGACCTTCTTGTGCGCTGGCGGCGTGCACGGCGCGGCGGCGGCCGATGGCCCCGCGGGCTCTGGGTCCGGCTCTGAGCGGCTCGCGCCGCCGCCACCGCGGCGCAAGGTCAGCGTCGGGCTCGACGACTCCGCGTCCGGGGTCTTGCACGAGTCCGCCGAACGGGCCGACGTAGGCGGGCTCTCGGCGACCGCGGCGACCGGGCTCGCAGGCGGCGCCTCGCCGCTGTTGCCGCCCTGGTCGGTCTCCGCCGCCGCGGCCGCCCCCGGGCGCAAGGCCGCCTCTGGGCGCCAAGGCGCCAGCACGTTGCTCGCCCTGTCGACCTGGCCCGGGATCGCGACGGCAGCGTCGACGCCACTCCGCCCCGCCGCCTGCGCCATGAGCCGCGCGTGCATCACTGCCTGGCGCAAGGGGCTCGGCGGCGTGCCCGGCGCTGCGCCCGCGTCGCCGAAGCCTGCGCCAAGGAAGCGAAGCGGGCGATACATCGAGGGCCGGACGCCGAGCGCGGGCATGGCGACGATGGACATGTAGATGCTGCTGCCGATGGAGCACACGTTCATGCCGTTGCCGAGCTGGTTGCGCTGGGACCTAGGAGCGAGTCGGAGCGAGCGGGTCATAAAAGAGAACAGTGGGTGGAGGAAGGGGAAGCTGCCTGTAGGTGCGCAGTCTCGGGGCAAACGCGCCCATGCCGACGCCCTGCGTGAAAGGGCCGATGGCGCCCGCCAAGACTGCCTGCTCGGCGTCCATGGGGAAGCCGAAGAGCTGCTGCAGCTCGACCGTCGTGAGCCAGCGACCCATCCGCTGGCTGCAGATGAGCCCGTTCGAGCGGATCACGGGGCCCGCGACGCCATCCTTGGACTTCAGGGCGCGGGACTGCGGCTCCTGGTTCGCGTCGCACAGCTCGCCCGGGAACATGAGCTCGCACGCCGCCACGCGGGCCCGCTCGGCCGGAGTCAGGGCGGCGAAGAAGGAGTCCGCCTGCGGTGGCGCCGCTGGCCGAACGACCAAACCTCGACTCATGCTCGACTCGACCTCGCCACTCCTGCTCCGGCCTCTCCTCCTTCCTCCAGCAATTCCTCCCCCCCCGCCCACCTCCTCCCCAGCCATCGCCCCTCCCTCCCCCCCCGCCCTACTTATCGCTGGCGCCTCCCTCGCCCCAGGCAGCCCTCACCCCCACCTCCTTCCCCTACTTCGCCTCGCAGCCTCCTCCCCCGTCCTTCTCCGTCTTCCCGCCCCTGCCATCTCTATATCCAGTCCTTGTATCACCTTCTCCTCCTCCCTCCTCCTCCTCCTTCTCCTCCTCCTCCTCCTTCTCCTCCTTCTCCTCCTCCTCCTCCTCAACTCCTCCTCCTCATCTCCTCCTCCTCCTCCTCGGGCTCCTCCTCCTCCTTCTCCTCGTCCATCTTCGACCTCGTTCCCCCCTGCGCCCATCTGTCTTCTTGCCGGCCCTTCTCCCCCGCCGCCCCGTCGCCGATCACCTCGCAATGTCGTTCCTCGCCTGCGCCCCCCCCCCTTTCATAGGCTGGGCCAGACGCCCGCGCCGCCGCTGGGCGGGGCAGCTGGACTGCCGGATGCTTTCTTCCCCCCCTAGTCTCGTGCTCTGCCGCGCCCTGCATTCCTAAGCTGCTAAGCTGCCCCCGCTCTTCCAACTCAACTCAGCCATCCCGGGCCGATTGCGCAGGCCTCGTCACCGTAGGATTCGTTCGCATAGTCCCTCTGCGCGACGCTCGCCCGAGACGCAGCCCACCTCCGCTCCTGCGGGCAGATGACGCCCGACTTGTCAAGCTTGAAATACGCGGACAGGTCGAAGCCGAGGCGCCTCCAGGGGGGCGGCACGGGAGGCCCGGGCCCCGGCGCCCGTCCGCTGGGCAAAGCAAGAGAGAGGAGGACGTGATGCAGAGGGGGGAGGAGGAGGAGGAGGAGGAAGAGGTTGAGGAGAAGGAGAAGGAGGAGGAGGAGGAGCAGGAGAAGGAGGAAGGGCAGGAGGAGGAGTAGGAGGACGAGGGGGGTAGGAGGAGGAGAGGGAGGAGGAGGCGGAGGAGAAGGAGGAGCAGGATGAGCCCCAAGAGGATGAGAAGGAGGAGGAGGCCGGAAGAGAAGGGAGCAGTGCAGTAGATGGGCGATGGGGGGAGGGGGGGGGTCGAGGCGAGGACGAGGCGGGCGGGGCGGGTGTTAGGCTGTGAGGATGTGTCTGTCAGTTGGGCTCATGTTGGGATCAGTGCTGCTTCCTGCCGCGCCCCCCGTCTCCGAGCCCCCTCCTCCCTGGGCCCTTGAGAACCTGGCCAGAAGCGCAGCGCGTGTGCAGCATGTCTCAGCATGCCATTTCAGAATACATTGTCGGTTCGACCAATCACACACTCACACGCGCTCACAATGCCGTGGCAACAGCGGCGCAATAATCGACAAGGCAATTCAAATATGGCGCTTGCTGGGGGGGTGCCAGACGCACCACCGCGCCTGGGGGCTCCTTTGGAGCTGCGGCCGGGGGCCGTGCGGCGCGCGCTGCCGAGCGAGCAAGCGATCGGCTCGCCGAGCGAGCAAGCGACTAGCTCGCCCAAGCAGAGCGCTCCAACATCGCGCCCTTGAATTACTTTGACAGCCTATGTAGCCCCCAAGCTCAGAGAATGCGCTGCGCGCGCACCCCCCGCAATCCCAATCCGACGGCGCGCTGACATGCGATACATAACACCAGTACACTGTCATACACACATACATACATACATACATACATACATACATACATGCACACACACATACATACATACATACATACATACATACATACAGGCAGGCAGGCAGGCAGGCAGGCAGGCAGGCAGGCATACATACATACATACACACATACATACATACATACATAATGACTCCTTGCACGCACTTGCAATCCCCATAACAACAAACTCATTGCGCGTGCCGAACTGAACTGCTGGCCCCAGGTCGCGCGCGCCGCCGACTGCGCAGCTGCGCGCTAGGCGCCCAGGCGCACTCGCAAAAATAAAATTGGCGCGGTGCAGCAGCAAGTTGTTATACACTGCTTGTCCGACATGCACAGTCATGCTCTACCCAACATGATGCTCCAGGACCCCAGGACGGAACATGGAGCAGGACAAGAGAGTTGAACAGCAATCGCCGAGAATCGCCGAGAGCACCCAGCGACACGTTGCATCCTCTCCCTCCGGCGTTCTCCCTCTGCCCCCCCCCCGCTTAGAGCCAGCGATCCGCGCGCGATGGAGGAGACGTGCCGACGCCGCCGACGGCTGGGGCCAGTGCCCTGCCCTCGCCGAAACAGGACGGGCGATGGGCGATGGCCCGGGAATGGCAGAGCAGAGCAGAGTCACGAGACAGTGGAGGCGGAGGAGGACAATGGAAGGACGAGGAGGAGTAGGAGGGAGAGGCTGGGAGAGGAGGGAGAGGAGGATTCCCGAGGAGAAGGGGGGACTTGGGGGGAGAAGGAATAGGCACGGCAGGCCGCCGCAGACCCGCGATGGGGAGGCCTCAGCCCTGACCCTCCCGCCCTCCCCCCTCCTTGCCGCCCGAACTCAGATCCAGCGCCCGCCTTGCTCGCGTCCCCCCCCTCCCCCCCCCTCCTTCGCGCCCCCCGTTCCGCCCTCCCCCCCTCCCAATCGCCACCCTCATCTCAAGGTATAGCTCAACGGCAGGGCGCCTTGCCCTGAGCTGCAAATCAAAAGCGCTGGCGTGCTTCCGAGCGCCACAAAATCTTGAAGAACAAAAAAAAAGGCCGCAACGCACTCACTCACCTCACACTCGACCCCCTCGATCCTCACTCCCAGGGCTCTCAAGCCCCTTACTTCATGATGTGCTTCCAGAAAGCACTCTGAGGCACAACAAGTTCGTCCTCGTCCCCGCTCCTGATCTGCTTCGCGTCACTGCCCCGACTGGCTGCGTCGTCCGTCTTTTTCGGCGGCGTCTCCTCTTTCAGCTTCATCCGGGTGAGCTCGAATCCATCCTCGAAGCCCATGCAGCTCTTGATTTTCAGCACGACGCATTCGAATGACAATGTGCTGGCACGGGTGCCGACCTGGCTCTCGACGATCATCGGGCGATGGCCCTCCTCGGCGTCGTTGCCGAAGAACTCCTGGGGGTCGACGTCGCCGCCCATGTCCACCCCGATGCGCACGTTGATTTTGTGGAGCAGCATGGTGGTCTTATCCTTCTCTGGATCATCAGGCACGGCGACGGCGCGCACGCCCCATGCCGGGACGAAGGTGTCGGACGAAGGCGAGGACATCGTGGCCGACGAGAGGAGGTAAGCCTCGTGATTCAGCTTGCCCCAAGTGGCGATTCGAATCATGTTGGGGGCGGGCTTGGGTGGCTGCCCGATAGGCACCACGACGACTTTGCCGAAGAACTGCAACTGGATCGAGTCCGCCTGGGTTGCATCGCAACCCTCAATGATGTGTAGCTTTGCCTTGCCGTTCGCCCCAGTCTTCACGTCAACTAGGTCGACGCCGCGGTTGCCAGTGCCCTGCGAATCGATCGCGCTGTGATCGCTCGTCGGCAAGTCGAGAAAACGGCGAGCCAGCCAACCCTGCACGGCCAACCCCGCGAGCTGCGCCCTCCACGAATTGCACTTGATGGTGCCTTGGCCTTCCCGGGGCCCAACTGCCAGAAACACCACCTGGGGCCCCCGGAGCCTGCCACACCGACCTCCTCCGCCGACCCCCCCCCCCCGCCCCTGCCCACCCACCCCCGCGCCCCTAGAAGGACGGGCGACGGGCGAGGGGCGTAAGCTGGGGGGTGACCCAGGGGGGGGCCCCTGCCCACCGCCCCTTGATCCCTTGATCCTCGAATCGAGCCCGGGCCCCACAACCCCCCCGCCCAGGTGGAGTTTCTGGCAATCAATCCCGCGTGGAGGATCTGGTCGAGGCGCGCGACCCCGTTGGCCCCGAGGACGTCCTCGATGGCGGCGGCGACGACCTCGTCGACTGCACCAGTGGCGACCCCCGCGGGGTTCACGATGTCGGCGACGATGGCAGTCCACTTCTCCCCGAGGGCAGCCTCCTCCAACTTCTGCTGGTCGATGCTCAGCGCCACGATGCACTTAACCACCTGGTCCTTGTTGAGCGCTTCGATGGCAGCGTAGGCCACAGCTACGATGCCACCGTCGGTCATCGGGATGTTGACGCCAACAGCTACGCAGATGGCGACCTTCTTCTCGCACAGGCAACTCTGCGGGACGGGCGCCGCCGCCGCCGCCACAACCGCGACCTCGGTGACGACGGCCCCGGCGGAGCTCGGGCAGTCGCAGTCAGCGCCCTCCCCTGGCGCCGGCACATCATTCGGCGCAGTCGTGGCGGCAGCGGCTCCCTCCAGGGCCGCGCGCGGCGTCTCCTCCTTCGGCTCCGCGGCGGGCTTCCTGGTCAACATGGCCTTCAGGTCTGCCTTCAACTCCTTGGCAGTCTTCCTGAGCGCCGTGGCCGTCTCAGTCCTGGCGATCCGCTGCCAGTCCTCCTCAGAGCGGGGCTCGTACTTAGTCGATTTCAAGGCCTGCGTCTTACGAGCCAGATCGCACCACGATAGCTTCCACGCATCAGCGTCCGAGCACCCTATGTCCAGGATCGCCACCTGCTCGTCGAACCTCCGCATCATGTCGGCCGCGAAGGAGAGCTCCTTAATGCCGCCCTCGAGGCAGCACTGGTCGCCCGCTTCGATCTTCCGCATCTGGGCGACAGCTGCGTCTTTGAGCAACACGGTGGCGTAGGTCGATCGGAGATGCATCAGCGACGACAGGGCGCGCAGTCTGCCCTGGTCCGCGAGCTTGCCCACGAACTTCCTGATCGAGGGCAGGTAGGGCTCCAGCGCAGCTGCCACAAGCACGGCATTCGCCCCTTTCTCCCAGATGTCATTCTCGTCGCGCCGATTGCCGCTGTCGCAGCCGCCGCCGGCGAAGGCCTCGTTGATGCCGCCAACGCCGCAGAACTGCTCTTGCTCAACGTAGGAGCTCACTTCGCGAGCCAAATTGACCAAGCTACAATCAATGTTGCTGAAGACAGCCTGCCCGACGATCTCGATGGCCGCATTCACGACGTCGCTGGGGGACGTTGCGCCCTTGAGCATCTCCGTGGTGTCCGTGTTCCTGATGGCCTTCGCGACGTCGCGCGTAGCCTTGGGCGATGGGTGGCAAACCCGCAGAGCTCATCTCCCCCTCCCTGGCCCTACCACAGGAAAACTGATTTGCTGACGATGCGGGCGATGATGGCGCTGATGCTAACGAGGACGATGAGATTGATGATGGGGATGGACCCGGGGATGGAGAAGACGAGGGAGACAAGGATCTGATCAAGGATTTTCGGCCCCCAGGGAGGGCGGTGCACGAAAATCGATTTCCCCGCGGCAAGGCCCCCCCCAGGGGGGCACGATCGGCCCCGGATGCCCTGGGAGGGGGATCGCATCCATCATGTGGATTTCCGCCCGCCCTGTCCTTCGTGAAAGCTGGGTGCTCAGTCTTCACGATCTCCGCGCGGGCGTCGAAGCCGACCTCGAGAGGCAACGGGTTCTCATCCAAGAAATTCGCGATCTTAGCTCCTGCCTTGGGGTCCTCGAAGATCGCCCGGAGCCCGTCCAAAGACTCCGATGGCTGCTGCTCCGGGGGCGCGTCCTCGACCGCGTCGTCGGCGTCGCCCTCGTCGCCCTTGCTGTCGCCCGCCACGTCTGGATCCGACTGGCGCGGCCTCAAAGAGTGGTACCTGAGCAAATCAGCCTTGATGCGCGCCCGGAGCTTGGACCAGGTCTTGTAGGTGATCATTTTGACGGCGCTCTGCGACGCCCTCGATGTGTCCACCATTTCAACCTCGCCATCCAGCACGAATTGCAATCCAGTCCTGTAGGCCTCGCCGATCTTCTGCTCGTTCCTGTGGCCAACCTGGACGTGCTGCACCGTGTACTCCACTGCGTTGTAGAGGTCGTCAATGAACAGAGTTTCCCGGGCGGCTTCTCCGCCCTCCACGGGGACGGTGTCATGGAACGTCTCGTCGGCGACGTTGGTGTTCCCCCTTTTGTTGTTCTTGGTGCCGCCTCCCTTGCCGTTGCCTCCTTTGCCTTTGCCTTTGCCTTTGCCTTTGCCCTTGCCGCCGCGCCTCTTGCCGCCTCTCTTGCCGCCGCTGCCCCCGTCGTCGTCGCCGCCGTCGGCGGCGCTCGTGGCGCTACCGTTCGTCGGCGCCCTGCTGGCAGCGAACGTTCGACTCGCCTTCATCGGCACCATCACTAAAGGCACCCTCTCGTCCATGATCTTCGCAGTCGTCACGGACCACGGGACGCCGTCAACCGTCGGAACAACGAATTTCAGGAGCTCCAAAGTAATCTTGACCCAGTGCGGAGGCGCACCCGACTTCAGCAAGGTCCTGACGATCTTGGCGTTGGCGCGAAACACTTGGGGGCATGTCAGCGAGGGCTCGTTGAACTGGACGTTCTCCCAGCAGTGCTGAACGTAGGTGTCCCGCGCACCGTTATGTTTCAACGCGTTGACAAATACGCAGCAGCCAGCATACTCTCGATACGATCCAAAACGACCAGGGTAGTTGCTGTTCACAAAATTCCAGTAGAGCCCCTCGTAACCATTACTCCTGAGGTGCCCGCGGCAACAACTCAATCCACCACCCCAGGAAGCCCCGTGGAACTTGTGAGATTTACACGGATGGAGGGCAGCTCGTCAAAGTTACGACTTAGCAAGTGGGCTATTGGGCGATCGCTTGAGACATCCTCGTGGCCAGATGTCTAGCCACGCGCCCCGCTTGCACAGATGGAGGGCGGCCCTCGACGCCAGGGCAACAGGGCAATGGGGCGCCCGTCTTTCAAGGGGGCGCCCGCCCCTCCCATCCCCATCCCGCCGTCCCCCATCGCCCTATCCCCCCCCCCACCCTCTCCTTCGCCTCACCCCCATCCTCCTTCTCCCCCCCCTCTTTGCCCTTCCCCCCGAGCCCGCCCCCCTCTCCCCGCCTCTCTCCCCTGCCCTTCCCTTTCTGTGTTTCTGCTTCCTCCGCCCCGCCCGATCCTGGAGGTAATTTTCGGCGTCTGCCGATCGCACCATTTCCCAAACTCTGCGATGATCTCCGGGATCTTGAGGTAGTGCTCCAAGAAACTCGTCCGCGAGGAGTGCGGGTTGAAGAAATTGCCCAGGTCCCGCAAATGCTCGAGCACGTCCGGCGGCGTCGCGGGGTAGAAGACGTCGATGTTCACCACGCCCGCCGCGATGGTAGCGGCCACCTGGCGGTTGTCGGGCTGCTCCTCGTAAGCGTCGTACGTCGCCTCCGTGAGTGTCGCCGCCGCGATGAGCTGGAAGACTGCCTGGGAGAGGTCGGGCGAAGTCGGGACTGCCCACGGATTGCCACGGACACCCCGCGCAACTCCGTGCTCAATGATCAAGTTCTTAAGGTCGCGACGGGAGACAGCCTCGTGCCGAGCGTTCAGCGGGTGGCGCACGAATTTCTTCATATCGTTGCCATTGGCATCCTTGAAAAAGTACGGGGCGTCGTACGTGCCCTCCATGCGATACGTCTGCCACGCGTACTCCTGGCGCTGCCTGCCCGCGAGGTGAGGCAGGCGATCCTCGATCGAGGCAGGCCCCGCATCCCACGTTCCATACGCAGGATCGGGCGATTGCATTGGCGTAGTCGCCGGAGTCGGGGTCGTGGCCGCGTCGTCGGGGCGACGGGCCGACCCCGGCGCGCGCGGGGCGGCGCTGCCCTTGGGCAGAGCGCCGCCGCTGCCGGGGCTATCGCTGGCACCTCCGCCGGAGGAGTCAAGCGACGATGACATGGCGCCCTGGTCTGGTCAGGAGGATAGTCGGGGACTCGGGAGCTCAGACGGGCTCGCTGCCTGAGGCGAGCCAGGAGTGAGGAAACAGATCTTGCAAAATTGCTCAGCAACTCAAACAGCTAAACAGCAGCGGACAATCGCGACGCGCCACGCGACGGACGGACCACCGCATACATTTCAGTTCAGGCTCTCGCTTGCGACAACCTTTAGTTATTACGAACCATGGGGGGGGGCAACATTCTGACCCGTCCAATGTCACGTGGATGGAGGGCGAGCGCCCGACTGCAAAAGCAACGCAGATGGAGGGCCGCCCCATCTGAACCCGAACGAAGTCAATTGCAATCAACTGTTGAAGAACGCACTCTCCTCATCCTCCCCCCCCCCCCCCCACACACGCGCACACACGCACTCCCTCACCCCCTCTCCCGCCCCTCCTCCGCCTCCTCCTCGCCCTCCTTCTCCGCGCTTCTCCCCCTCCCCAGTCTGCTCGGCCCTCGGTCCATCACTGTTTGCTGTGGTTCGCACACTCTGACTCTCTCTCTTTTTTTTTCTCTCTCTCTCTCTCTCTCTCTCTCTCTCTCTCTCTCTCTCTTTCAGCCAAAGGGGTCGTTTTTCGCAGGGCCCCGCGGCATTGCATTTTCGTGTCGACTTGTATCACATTCGTGTATTCCGCCACTGCTCCTGGCGAAGTGATTGGGAGCAGCAGCATTCAGTGATGCGATCGGGAATTTAAGGGGGTACAGGTCTTTCCCTTAAGGGCAGCGGGTGCATCCGCTGTGAGGGCCTCCTCTGCACCCTTGCACTGTCCCCGCCTGTGCGCATGCTGGGCCATTCGGCTCCCAGCATGTGCACCTTTTCCTCAGCGCGTCTGGCGCCCCTCTGCCGTCCGCCGCCTGACCGCGGACTCTGTCTCTCTCGAGGTCCGCCAATGGGGGCTAAAGGTTAGCTGGCAGCGGCTGGTGCCGCTGTGCTGTCGGCAAGCTTTTGCCGCTCCTGTTGGGGTTCTCGGCCTGTGCGCACTGTGCTGGGCCATACGGCTCCCAGCTGGTGCACCTTTTCCTCGGCGCGTCTGGCGCCCCTCTGCCGTCCGCCGCCTCGCCGCGGACTCTGTCACTGCGCACTGTGCTGGGCCATACGGCTCCCAGCTGGTGCACCTTTTCTCTTTTCGCCAGCCCGTGCGCCCGCGAGGCACCGCGTCCACGGGGCCTGGGCGTGGGGGCGGGGGGCGCCCCGTCTCTGCGCGCCGCGCAGCGGCCAAGCGCCCAACCGGCGGTCCGCCAAGCCGCCTTAGCCACGTTTTTCACGTCGCCACTTGCGTTGGGGCCTTCTTCTCCACGCGGTCTGACACGTGAGATCTTCACAGTCTGTCCGCCGTCAGTAGCTTCAGACGCATTGCGCCGGGGGAGGGGGCCTGTCGCCCGCCCTCGTATCTTAAGGCTGCACCGCCGCTAATAGTGTTTTGCGGGTTGTCGCACCGCAGTGCGCCTCGCGGACGGACCCTGGTCCGCCTACTTGTCCGGTCTCTCTCTCTCTCTCTCTCTTTCT